TCAGCACCTGCTGCCGAGGTGGTTTCCATGATTCTGTCCATGGAGGTCCCCTGCTTCAGAGCAAGCACTCCAGTCTTTGGCCTGAGACTAAAATGCCCGCATGGCTGCACTGCTGGATCACCAAGGAATGGCTGACTGTGTATATGCCTGGATTAAAAATGGCTCTTGCTCTTGGTCCCAGGTCTAGGAAAATACCCACAGCTCTTCTCAGTGTGTTTCCCTCTCAGGGTCTCCAAGCATCTCCCCAAGTTAGCTCCAGGACTTGGGAGAAGCAAAGTATGGCTGGGTTGCTGAGGGAAGTCACAGAGGGGCTCCCTTTGCTCTTTTGTCCTGGGGCTTCACTCAGTTTTATCAGCTGAGTGCTGTCGTGGGGGCTATTTGCCTGTGTCCTCTTTCCTGGGAGCCAGGGTGTCCTTTGTGATTCTGGTAGATTTCCATTTTCTTTCTTGAATTAAAGCTCACAGAGTTGACCTTTATGTACTATTTTGCTGTTTCCAAGTGACTGAGATATGCTAAAAGCCTCTAATCTGCCATCTTAGGAAAATAAAAAGGTGAATTGTTTTAAAAATAGTGAAAAACACTGTATAAAAACAAAAACACACTGGGGGAGGATATGTGCAACTTATAGCACAGAAAAAGGAGACTATCTCTGTAATGTAAAAAGAACTCAAAACATCAGGAAGAAAGAAAAACTTTAACAATTTGCAAACCAAACAGCTCACGTATTTAGCAGGACACACTCATCTTCACCATTAACAGGAGAGAAGAACTCACATATTTAGCAGGAAACATTCATCTTCACCCTTGATGGGAGAGAAGAACTGCCCCATGAGCTTGCTGCAGTTTTAGGGTGTGTTTCAGAGTCTGGCAGGCTCATCATCCTATGGTTTTATTTTTTCGGAAGAAACAGCCCAAAGAAGCCTGATGTTTTTGTGAGGTTTCTTGGCCAGAACCGTCCATGCTAGTCCATTTGTTTAAGTTGTATGTCTGTAAAGAGCATCTTCCTCTTTAAGTCTTAAAACTTTTTCTATTTTATTTGTTTTTTGGTATTTAACACTTCTGGTGGCTTTTAAAAATTGAGATATTCTTTTCATTACATCTTCTAACTGGTTGTGCTTGTTAAATATAAAAGCTATATATTTTGACTATTAGTTTTGAAACTTACTATATTTCTTCATTATTGATAGCACCTGTTGTGTTTTTCTTTGTAGTTGATTCACTTGGATTTCCCAAGTATTCCATCTTATAATCTGAAAATAATAGTTGTTTTATCTCCTCCTTTCTAACTTTTATATTTCTCATTTCCATCTCCTCTAGTTTCACTGGTGAATGCCTCCAGGATGACACTGAGTCATTGTGGTGATGGTGACTCCTTCTGACTTACTGTAAGGGGCTGCTTCTCATGTTTTCCAGTGATAGAGTTAGCCTAGTTTTGTTAAGAAAGTATCCAGACCATTTACTCCTGTTTGAGTGTGTTCATAAAAAATGGAGTTGACAACTCTGTGGCTCTTGCCTGTAATCTCAGCACTTTGGGAGGCTGAGGTGGCAGATCACCTGAGGTCAGGGGTTTAAGACCAGGCTGGCTGACATGGCGAAACCCCGTCTCTACTGAAAATACAAAACAAAATTAGCTGGGGGTGGTGGTGGGCGCCTGTAGTCCCAGCTACTTGGGAGGCTGAGGCAGGAGAATTGCTTGGGCCCAGGAGGCAGAGGTTGCAGTGAGCCGAGATCACTCCACTGCACTCCAGCCTGGGTGACAGAGCGAGACTCCATCTCAAAAAAAAAAAAAAAAAAAAAACAGAGGTTGAATTTTGTCAGATGCCTCTTCAGGATGTATGAGGATGATCTTATTTTTATTGTCAGACCAGTTAAGAGGATGAATGATAATAGATTTCCTAATATTGAGCAAGCCTGAGGTTTACCCCTGGTCTTTGTCCCATCATTGTGTTGCTAGGATTTGTGTAGCAATAATTATAAATGAGATTGGGCTTTTTTAAAAGATGTAATCTGAGATGTGTTTTGCTATTAGCATTAGGCTCAAATCATTCAAGTATTTGGACGTTATTTTGCTATCCTCTGAAACAATTTTAATACTATGAAGCTGATTTATACTTTTGAATTTAATTGAAAAGAGTTAAGTAACATAGTCATTTATCTTTTATTTTCTTTCATTAGGATTTTTATGTGTGTTGTGCATGTGTATACACATTCACTGTACACACACATGCGTGCATACACACATGCACATGTATATAACCTGAGTTATTAAGAGTTTGAAATTCTCAAGCTAGCGTGGATTTTCTTATTTGTAGTATAGAGCCAGGAAGTATTATCTATACGACTTCTCACAGTGGCATAAAAGAAGTTTTCTTTGTGGCATTGTCAACTTTTGGGAATGTTCTGTGGATACTTGATATAAATAGCAGCCTAATTTCAGGGTACAGTCTCGAATTAAATCAGTTGGATACCTTTTATTTATGTATAATCTGTACATTTATATGTTTTGTCTGCTTGATCTGCAGTATTCTGACAGGTGGGTTAATCTGTGTTTTTATATTTATATTTTTGTCCAATATACTTTAGCTTGCTAAATATTAACAGGTCATTGATCGGCACATGGATTATGTATTTGTTTTAAATTTATTAAGATGTGCCCTTGTGAACCTTGGCAGTCAATTTCCTCCTTCAACCTCGGGCACCTGGCAAATATTTTTCTGCTTCTCATTACTCTAATTTTGCCTTTTGAGGAATTTTATGTAAATGGATTTATATAGTCTTTAGAAAGTGTCTGACTTGTGACATGAAGCAAAATGCTGTAAAGATGCACCGTATTGTTGATGTATTAGGGTCCATTCCTTATTGCTGAGTTGTGTTCCATGGTGCAGGTAGAGCAGATTCTTTCCATCCACTAAACAGATGATGAACATTTGGATTGTCTCAAGTCTGGGGTCATTATGTATAAAGCTCTTACGAACATCATAGAATACTTTATGTGGACGTGTATTGTTATTTCTCCTGGACAAATACCCAGGAATGAATTCTCTGGGCTAGAAGTTAAACTGCCATGTTGCTTTCCAAAGTGACCACACAGTTTTACATTTCTAGCCACAGGGTATGGGAGTTTCCAGGCTGCAAACCCTCATTCACTGTGGATATCATCAGTTGTTTTCATTTTAGCCATTTAGAGATTATATGGCAACACCTCACTCTCAGCTTCTATTTGCTCTCCTTCGTTGTTAAAGATATTGAACATCTTTTCCTGTCCTTACTTGGTATCCATATATTTTCATTGATGAAATCAATGAAACTTTTGGTCCATTTTTTTATTGTGTTGTTTATCATCTTAGTGATTTGTAACAGTTCTCATCTGCATTTAAAGATTGATATGTAATAGATGTGCATATTTTTTATATACATGTGATAATCTGATGCATTTGTATAATCAAATCAGGGGCACTGGGATATTCAGCACCTTGAATATTTATCTTTTCTTTACACTAAGAACATCCAAATTATTCTCTTTTAGCTACTTTGAAATGCATAATTGACTATTGTTAACTGTAGTCACCCCAACGATGGATCAGACGCCTGGTCTTATTTTTTCCAAGTGTGCATTTGTACCCATTACTCAGTGTCTCATCTACTTTTTAGATTTATCTTTGTGGTTTTTAGCAGTTTTATAATGATGTGCACATATGTGACTCTCCTCATGTTCATTCTACCTGGAGTTCATAGTAATTCTTAACTCTGCAGTTCAATGTCTCTGTAAAGTTTTGGACTATTCTGTCTTCATGTACAGCATCTGCCTGATTCTCTCTCCACTTTTTGATGAGAACCTTCACTACTCACTTTCTACACCTTCTTGCCTTAACTCATAAAGTCTCTTTTGGTCTTTCTAGTAATTTCAGTTCTTTCAGCTTTCAGGCTGGACGTATGCCTTTAGGTCGATGATTCTTTTTTCTGGTATGTCTAAATGACTGTTAAATCCATTGATTGTCTTCTTAGTTTATTTTTATTTTCAGTCTCACGTTTTTCATGCAATTCTCTCTTATGGTGTCAAATTTCTGCTGAAATTCTCTACTTTTTCTTTTAATTCCTTGAATATATAAAGCAGTTTCTTTACAATAAGTCCATTGTAAATGAGTGAATTTATTGTATTTTTTATAAGTTTAAAAGTTTAAATTTTTTAAGTTTAAAAGCATGGAAGGGAATACCATATGGTGCTTAAGGACACAAATATATGTAGGAAAAATGTAAAGAAATATGTGGAATTCAAAACAGCAAACTCAGGGTGATGTTCCCTTTGAGTTAGGAGACAGTGGTGAATGGAAAGGGATTAGAAAGAAGGAAATAACTGTGTTTTACCTCTTGTCAGGTGAAGATAACATGGGTCTTTATTCTCCTTTTCCATGTCTTAAGAAGGTATAATAAATAAAGGCAAATGCACAGGTGTGTATATGACGTAAGGCAGTGAAGAGTGAATAGCAGGCCAAATGGTGCCATGTGCACCTGCTCCCCTCAGGAGGGTTCGCTGGGGGTAGGCAGGGCTGAAGCAAGGAGTCTACATGGGAGTTGGGGCTGAGTGGGCAGCTCACTTTGGGGTGGGCAGAGGGGGAGTGCAATGTTGGGTTAGCGAGTGTCTGAAAGGCAACAGAATCTCTGGTGAATTTGATAGAGGGCATGAGATAGAAGAATGAATCTTGGCTCTGAAGTCACCCTGAGGACCAAGGACATCCAGGGATGGAATTTCCATTTCCTGAAGAGGAACACTGTGGGAGGGGCAGGCTAAGTGAGGAGAAAGAAGAGCTTGGATTTGGGCCCATAAGGGCTGAGGTGTTGTTCCTTTCCAGATGGAACTGTGAGGTGCACAGCTGGAGAGGCGAGTCTGGAGTTCAGGGAGGAGCTCAGGGATCCCAAATGGAGGTGGATTTTACCCTGCATATGAGATACAGGACCTCCACCTACCTTACAAAAAGTAAGAAAACAAAATTGAAATATTCACTTAGTAAACATTTTAAAATTTTATTTAGAGACAAGTCAGCCATGTCACCCTAAGTTTATTCTACTGCTGGCAATGAACAAATGTCCCCATAAGGAAGAAAAGTTGAGATGTCATATTTTTAAATACATGGTGTTCAGACTTCTTGTAATCATGTTTCTATGATGAATGCATTTGTACAATTTTTGAAGGTATAAAGATGATTTCTAAGGATTCATAGTCCAGTTAACACTTACAACTCTAAACATTACTGATACCTCCTATAAGCTGATTTCTTTTTCTCTAGTCACTTTGCAAATATAAATGTATGAATTGACATTAATGGCGCTACCCTCAAAATTCTTAAAATACAGCTACCACGTACATAGCCAGATCAAATGCTTAGTGATGTTTGAAAATGTTCACAAAAGAACTATGACCACATAAATTGCAGGTTAGTGTATGACACAACATATGTGATAAAGTTAGTACAAAGTACTTAAAGATATATAGGTCAACTCTTTTTATATAGGAAAACAAAATATTTTACATACTGAATGGAAATTTATAGAAGTTTTTTTTTGTAAATTTATATTAAACATTGCTTAACTAGTAAATCCTGCCAGTGTAGAAATAATTTTTTCTGTAATTCTCAAAGAAGAAAATAGTTTAAGCTTTAATTCATGGTTACATAGTTGGCTGGAAAAATGCCAGTTTGACCTCGAAGCTTTCCTTCCCACCAATCAAACTGTGAATCTGTTTTTGATATAACTGTGATTCTGTCTCCAGCTTGAAAATTCAAATCCCCAGGCTGCTGTCCTTCAAATGAATACAGTGCTGTCACTTCTATGGGTGGATTTAAATTGCCTGAAACAAGAAAAAAGTATTCACATATTTATGTTCTTTGGGGAAAAACTGGGAGTATGTGCTGATAAGATAAAAATTAACCACTTAGTGCTTGGCATGCTGGTGTCCCGGAGGCTGGTAGAACCCACAGCACAGTCTGCAATTTGCATCACATTATTAGACTTACTTTTCTCTGCACATTATTGTATACCTAACTATGGATTTAGCACGTGCTTCTGGTTATAATTGTCAGAATTTTGAATAATCTATGAGATAATACAACACGTGTTTTTTCCATTTTAATACAGTAGTCATTGCTGTGGTCTGAATGTCTGTGTCCCCCTGAGATTCAAGTGATGAAATCCTCAACCCCAAGGTGATGGTGCTATAAGTGGGGTCTCTGGGGGTGATTAGGTTTCCCCCTCATGAATGGGATCAGTGTCCTTACAGACAGAGCCCAAAGGGAACTTCTGGCACCTTCCTCCTTGTGAGGGCGCAGCAAGATGGCACCATCTGTGAAGCAGAAGCAGCCCTTGCCCAACACCTCGTCTTCTGGCACCTTGAACCTGGAATCAGTCTCCGGGAGTGTGAGAAATAAAATTCCATTGTCTGTGAGCCACCCAGGCTATGGCATTTTGCTACAGCAGCTGGAAGAGGCTAAGACACTCATGACAGCCTCGTGGATGACAGATGCTGGACAAAGGCTGGTATGTGAGCTCATGGTCAAACCCTAGAAGATTGGACTTTAAAACCCGGCTTTTTACTCGCTGGGCTTGAAGACTGCAGCTCAGTTATGGTTTGCTGTTTCATCAGCAGACATTTCTTCTCCTGGGGCGTTGTGGCTGTTTACATTTCTGTGCTTAACTGATCCATTCTCTCAGTATCACAGATGAAATTGGAATTAGCACAGGTAGAAGCATTTCTACATATGTTTCACAAGTATTTCAATGCAATGTGTATAACCATGTATTGTATGAGAATTGAGCAGTTAACATGAATAAAGGACATTAAATATTATAAACCATATAACATCATAAAGATATAGTGAAACAGACAGTTTTTAAGCACTCAGCTATATAGAGTCTGATGCTTCTATGTTTCATAGAATTCTGTGCATAAATTAGATGTTCAGACACATAGAAAACCTCAATAACCAGACTCTACAGCCAGGCCCTATTTGAACCCATAATACAACAATAATAATAATAATGTGAACTTGGTCCATCAGTAAGAAATAAAAATAGTCAACACTTTATACTGACTAAAACACTGAATCTGTAGCTCACACAAGATGCTGCTGCAGTTCTTTCTTTAAAGTATGTACCATCTAGTTGAGTTCTCCTAAGAAATAATCCTAATAATGAATGATACAATTAAATTAGAGATAATACTGGTATAAATACTACTTTTTTCTATAACACAAATAATTTCTGTATATTTTATTTTTATAATATGTAAATATATTAAATATATTAAAATATTTTAATATTTTATATTAAATAAAATATTTACTATAAATAAAATATTTTATTGTATTATTTTATATTAAATAATATAGGAATATATATACAATATATATAATATATTAAAATATTTAATATTTTAATATTTACTATATTTACTTTTAGTTTATCAATCTTAAGGAATAAGGTTAAAAGAATGTCACCAAAATAAAATTTTGACATAGTCTAGAAACAGTAGAAGCAAGCTAAACTGAGCGCATGACGAAACCCCACACACACTAAGGAGCAGTTGCTGCCACGCGCTGTTAAGGGAGCTGTGCTGGGTGAGGAGCCCGCAGGTGCCCAGGCCTCGCTTCCCTGTCACCAGAGCAGGATGCCAGCTAATGCTAAAGAAAACCCGTCCTGGAAATCTCCTGTTCCCGCTTCCATTTAGTATGGCCACATGTAAAGTTGCATCCTGATTAACCGCACCAGTGAACACCCTCCAGGAACTCTGTTCTCCGCCCTCGTCTCCCAGACGTGTGAGATCCTAGGAAGAGGTGACTTGGAAGAGTGCTTGTGAGCATCAGGGAACGTGCCAGGGGCCGCAGCCGTCTCAGCTACCATGCCTTCATACTCCTGCAGTCTCATTTATAAAACCGAAAACACATCGTAAGGACAACCGCAGCGATAGCAGCGGCGATCGCCGTGCGTCTGGGAAGGGCCGCCGCGTGTTCTAGCACTGCGGCCGGCAGTCCCGGGGGACGCTCACGGCGGGCAGCGCTCACGGCGGGCAGCGCTCACGGCGGGCAGCGCTCACGGCGGG